TTATTATATATATATATATATATATATATAATACTATATATTATATATATATATAGAGCTAAGAGAAGAGAGACCTGAGAAGAGGAGGACCGAGAAGAGAGAGAGAGTAACTTAGTCAACTTAATGGACAGAGGCTTTGTCACCAAGTTTTATCCACTCACTATTAATATATATAAAAAGTCTTCATATCTTTGCATGCCCTAGGTATCATCAATGGATAAAGTTTGTAGGTGGTATCCAACCTTAGATCATAGTGACATAAGAATTTCTCTCTCTCTCTCTCCTCTCTCTTCTCTCATATATATATATTATATATATATAATTAATATATATATATATTATATATATATATATACTATATAATATATATATATATATATATATATATTATAATTATATAGGGAAAAGTGAATTTAAGGTGACAACCCTAGGCTCCAACCTAAAGATTGCGGCCTAAATCACATCATTTCCTCTTTTTTTTTTCGATCCGCTCCGTTACTTGATCTACACTTTTAAACCCAAGCACAGCCAGACTTTTAGGGGTACCCGTCGTGTTTTGACCCTTATCACTCGCGTGTAATTTTAACCGTTATCGACATGAATTAGAATTTTTGCACGCTCAACGAATCGTCAAAACACAACGGCGTTCACCCTAAAATATGGTTGTGTTTGGCGTTAAGAACGTGTTTAGATCAAGTCGTCAACGCGAAGCGATCGCCCAGAAAAAAATTAGGACAGTATGTGAGTCTAGGCCGCAGTCCTTAGCGTGGTGTGAATATTATTAACTTTTAGGCGGCTTATGGATAAGTTGATGGGCCTAATATAAGCCCATGTTATCTTCATGAATAAGATGGGGTTTCAATAAACAATATGGTTATCAGGAGCCTCCACAGAAACCCTAACCCTAGCCGCCCCCCCCTGCCCCTCTCTTCTTCCCCTGTAGCCTCACCTCCTCTTTCTTGAATTCTGTCGATCAGACCACCCCCCTTCCGCCTCTACAGACCCTCGAACCTCCCCATCCTAGAAACCCCCACCCCTGCTCACTCGTGGACGTCGACCACGAACCCCGACCCCTCCCTCTGTTCTCCCGATCATCCAGACCCGGCCCAACACGCGCTTCTCCCCGTGCCTTACATCGTGACCAGAACCCCCGACCCCTCCTCCTCTGTCCGATCATCCAGAACCTCCCAACTGCACCTGACCGACCTGATCTCCCCACCTGACCGACCCGAACAACCCCTGATCTCCCCACCTGACCGAGACCAACCCGAACCCCCTTTGACCCCCCCTGACCCCGACCTCAGCCTTCCCCCCATCTAGCCGCTGCCACCTCGAGCCCCTTGCTGCGCTATGTCGGACCTAGAGTTTGACATGGGTTCCCTTAACTCAGTCCTCGAACTGATGACAGGAAGAGTATATACCTCACATCGATCTAGCCGCTGCCACCTCGAGCCCCTTGCTGCGCTATGTCGGACCTAGAGTTTGACATGGGTTCCCTTAACTCAGTCCTCGAACTGATGACAGGAAGAGTATATACCTCACATCGATGAGATATATAACTGATTTTGGTTCTTGTTTCCTCTGAGAAACGAGAATTTGTTGGAGATCTTACTCTTGTTGTGCAGCAGAAGTGCTGCCGAAATTTTCACTGCACACAACAAGGGTAGGAGATCATCAAGAAGTTGAACCCCGCGGAGGTGTCAACTTTGATGAAGCTAATGAAGTTGTCGGCTGGTGAGAGCGCGACAAAACCATCGAAGAAGTTGGAGCTTCCGACCATCGATCTGAAGCTTGATGGACCGAGTACGTACCTGAGCTGGTCGCGGCGGGTGAGATACACCCTTGTAGGAAGGATCCTGGAGGGTTACTTGACAGGAGAGGCGACAGAACCGGAGGAGGACTCGGAGGGAAGAGATGAGTGGAAGTCCACTCACATGTTGGTGTACATCTGGCTTCTCAACTCGTTGGTCCCGACGATCACCGCCACGGTGGATGGCTTTGAGAAGGTGAAGGACGTCTGGGAGAAGTTGATGAGGACATATGATGGAGTGGGGAATAACCTGAGGGTATTCCAGATTAAAGGAGAGATCGACGCCACAGTCCAGGGAGAGAGGACTGTACAGGAATATGCTACAGAGCTGGACCTCCTGTGGCTGGATTATGATCATTTTTCTCCCCGGGCTAGCTGCAAGGATCCGGGATGTAAAGAGCGGGAGGCCTTTCTACAGGAGAGAACTATGGTGTTTCTCAAGGGATTGACATCAGAGTTCGCTCAGCGAATTGCATTACTGCTAGCTCAGCCGAAAATTCCTACGCTTGAGGAAGCTGTCTCGGCTATGATCCAGGAGGAGACTCGCATTCGGCTGCAGGCGGGGACAGGTGGACTTCCTGTGGTGAAGTCAGCACTGCCAGCCTCTAGCAACACTGAATCTAGGGGAGAGACCCGACAGTGTTACAACTGCGGTGCGGTGGGTCATCTAAGGCATGCTTGCACCAAGCCATCCAAGGAAGGAGATTCGGGTGGACGTGGACAGTTCGGAGGTCGTGGTCGTGGCCGTGGGGGTCGACGAGGTGGAAGAGGAGCAGGAAATCGGGCGAATCTGACGGTAGCAGAAGAAGAAGAAGCTGAGGTGGTCTTTACAGAGGAGGATCGTGCTCTCCTCACGATACTCAGGAAAAAACAGCAAGTAGCAGGGGATGGAGATTTGAGGAATGGGACTGCGGAGGCATCTACTTCGTTCTTCGTCAGAGGCAACACTGCTACCTATGCTCATCCGACTAAAGGTACTGATGACATACATGCTCTTGCTTCTATGTCTCCCAACAGATCATCAGAGTGGATAGTCGACTCCGGTGCGTCTCGTCATGTGACAGGTAATGCTAGTGAGTTCTCATCATATACTCACTTAGCATCGCCTGATAGTATTCAAACAGCTGATGGTACATTTCAGCCGGTGGTTGGTAAGGGTACAGTCGATTGTACTGGTTCTGTAACTTTATCCAATGTTTTGCATGCTCCTTCTTTTCCAGTCAATCTTTTGTCCATTAGTTCTATCATCCTCCAACTAAAATGTATTGTTTCTTTTGATATTCCCAAGGTGATTTTCCAGGAGAAAGAGATAGGACGGAGACTTGGGACTGGCACATGACGTAATGGACTGTGGTATCTGGATCGTGAAGGGCTAGATTCAGCTTTGGTGTCCATGGTAGAGAGAGCAGGAGTAGGATCTGAGATGAGTGCTGAGAGTGTGTTGATGCTTCATCACAAACGCTTGGGACATACTTCTTTCGGTGTTTTAAGTAGGTTGTATCCATCTTTATTTGAGAAAGTAAATAAAGAGAAACTTGTGTGTGATGCATGTAAGTTGGGAAAGCTTACTAGAAGCTCTTATGTTAGTTCTGATCATAGGAGTTCTCATGCATTTGATATGATACATTCAGATGTGTGGGGGCCATGTTCCACAAGTTCTATGAATGGATACAAGTATTTTGTTACCTTCATTGATTGCTTCTCTCGCGTTACTTGGTTATACCTGATGAAGAATAAGAGTGAAGTGTTTGGCTGTTTTCAAAACTTTCATAGGAATGTTCAGACTCAATATGGAGCAGTGGTGAAGGTATTAAGATCTGATAATGGGACAGAGTACACCAACAGATTGTTTGGAGAATACTTGTCATCTCAGGGAATACAACACCAGACTACGTGTTCATACACACCAGCTCAGAATGGGGTAGCAGAAAGGAAGAACAGACATCTTTTAAAGGTTGCTAGAAGTATGATGATCTCCATGAATGTCCCAGAAACATTGTGGGGGCAAGCAGTGTTGACTGCAGCGACGCTGATCAACAGAATGCCCTCGAGAGTACTGGATTGGAAGTCTCCGTGTGAGACGTTGAAAGGAGATAATGGTGGAATTCTTCCACTGAAAGTTTTTGGTTGTGTGTGCTTTGTGAAGGATAACAGACCATCAGTCAGGAAGCTTGCCCCTAGAGCGGTGAAGTATATTTTTGTGGGATATTCTGCTACTCAAAAGGGATATGTTTGCTGGAGCCCGATGGAAAAAAGGCTGTTCGTAAGTATGGATGTGTACTTTCGTGAATTTGAGCCATATTACACACAGAAGGTATCCTCATCCGGTGGTGACTCGCCCAATACTGGAAGTATGAGGCGAGAAGGGGAGAATGGTGAGAGGCAGAATAATATGGAGAAATCGATTTCTCTAACGATTCCTTGGGAAGGAGAATTGGTTGAGGAGGAGCAGGAGAATAAAAAAGAAGAGGATAAGGAGACAAGAGGTGTTAGGCCCACGGCTCAGGGAGAGCTACTTACCTATAGTAGGAAGGGGAAGCAAATTGCAGAAACAGTACCTACAGTGTCACTAGTGCCAAGTCCCTTATCAACGCCTATCCCGACTCCTGAGACACCTACACCACCATCAGATTCCTCTCAAGGTGATATCATTCCTCTCCTTACTCCTCCCACACCAATGTCAGTACGGAGGACTACTCGCAGCAATGCGGGACATCCTCCTGATAGATATGGTTGGAATCTTGCCCAGTTTGTATCATATTCTAATATCCACCCTGCACATGGAGCATTCATTGCATCATTGGACTCTGTTACTGTACCTAACAATTGGCAGGTTGCTAAGAAGGACCCAAAGTGGAAAGCGGCTATGCACGAGGAGCTAGGGGCTCTTGAGAAGAATCGCACTTAGGAGCTAGTAAAACTACCAGAAGGAAAGAGAGCAGTTGGATGTAAGTGGGTCTTCACTGTGAAGCAGAATCCAGATGGGCAAGTTGAACGCTACAAGGCTCGTCTGGTGGCAAAAGGGTATAGTCAGACATATGGCATCGATTATGATGAGACTTTTGCACCGATGGCAAAGATGAGTACTGTTTGGACCTTAATCTCTCTGGCAGTAAATGGTGGATGGAAGCTACACCAACTAGATGTGAAGAACGCATTTCTTCATGGAGATCTAGTGGAGGAGGTATACATGGAGATACCACCAGGATTCGGTACAGATCAGACGGTGGGAAAGGTCTGCAGATTAAAGAAGTCTCTCTATGGCTTGAAGCAATCTCCTCGTGCTTGGTTTGACAGATTCAGGCGGGCTATGATAGGTATGGGATACCATCAGATTAATGCCGATCATACTGTGTTCTTTCGACGGAGTGAAGGTCACATCACCATGCTTGCAGTATATGTGGATGATATGATTATTACAGGGGATGATGAGAAGGAGATTGCCCAACTCAAAATGAGACTGGGTAAGGAATTCGAGGTGAAAGATCTTGGCTTGCTTCGATACTTTCTTGGAATAGAGATAGCTCGAGGAGCGGAGGGGATCGTCCTATCCCAGAGAAAGTATGCACTGGATCTTCTCAAAGAGACAGGGATGTTAGGGTGCAAACCTGCAACTACACCGATCGACCAGAAGTTCAAACTAGGTGTTGAGGCCGGAGAACCAGTTGATCGTGACAGATACCAGAAGCTAGTGGGAAAATTGATCTATTTGAGTCACACACGTCCTGATATCTCTTTTGCAGTGAGCATGGTGAGTCGTTACATGCACGATCCGAGGAAGGGTCATATGGACGCTGTGTACCAGATTCTGAGATATTTAAAGAGTGCCCCCGGAAATGGACTGATATTCAGGAAGAATGGACATGTGAGCATCGAGGGTTATTGCGACTCTGATTGGGCTAGCTGTGCTGATGACAGGAGATCCACCTCAGGATATTGTATCTTTGTAGGAGGCAACTTGGTCTCGTGGAAGAGCAAGAAGCAATCGGTGGTAGCGAGATCAACAGCTGAAGCAGAGTATAGAGCCATGGCCTTAGGAGTTACAGAGTTGTTGTGGTTAAAGAGTATGTTGGTGGAGCTGAAGCTGGATCAAGGAGCCAAGATGAAGCTGTGGTGTGATAACAAGTCAGCCATCAGTATCGCCAACAACCCAGTGCAGCATGATAGAACCAAACACATCGAGATCGATAGGTTCTTCATCAAAGAGAAGTTGGATAGTGAACTACTGGAGCTAAGTCATGTTTCGACTAAGGACCAGGCAGCAGATTGTCTGACTAAAGGACTCAACTCAGTAGATATGATTAGAGGATGTGACAAGATGGGCTTAATAGATATCTTTCGCCCATCTTGAGGAGGAGTGTTGAAATAGTAATATGTTTAGGGGCTTATGTGTAAGTTGTAGGGGCCTATCATGAGATTGTAATTTGTTCTAAATCAATATAGCTATATACAGTTTGTCTATATCTGGCGCAAATGTATACAGCTAGTTAAACTATATGAAAACACAAGAAATATGTTTGACTAAATGCGACAATTTGAGAGAGAGAAAATTGAAGAAACAAGTATGAATACATTCAGGAGTAGAGTTGGAGTGAAACTGAGGATGCTCCAATGTTTACGATCCACAATGAGCATTATATTTTCCAGTATTGTTGTCCATAGCCAAGACAATTGTGAGCTTGAAAATCTTCCTGTAAAACATGATTTGTTGAGTTTAATGGAATCTATTCATGCAACTGAAGTTTAAGTTCATGCAACCAAGCATTTCTCTCAACCTCCCATACTTTTGGATCCAGATGGAGGAGAGGATGAGGATAAGTACAAATATAATGAATTGGGAGCTTCCTCTTAAATGATGAAAGCAGATTCTTGTTGGAAAATTGATTAGGAAAAGATTGAGTTTCTCATATCTTTTGGTTATAATTTTATTGTGGATACCTAACACGTTTAAACCATATCCAAATCCAATAAGAGTTATTTTTTCCCTTAAATATTGTTATATCTGTAAATGAAGAAGGGGAAAAAACCAGGTCACGCTTCTTTTTTCTTTCCTTCTGTTTCTCCGTTAAAAAAAAAATACTCCCTCATCTTGCTAACAACTTCAATCATGAATGATGATATCAACCTCTACAAATAATGTTCTTCAAGGAAATTCAAATATAGACAAAGGAAAATCAAGAAAACAACTTCTCCAATCGAAGGCAATAACTGTTGTTCTAGGACAGTGATATCATGACTGCCCCCTTACAGGTCAGCAACTTCTTCATCTATTTTCTGTTTAAAATTATTATTGTATTTTATTTTGTTTTGATGCAAAATATACAACAATCTAGAACAACAGTTTTGTCCGTGAAAAGTATTTTAAAGGTGACGCGCCTTAGCACCTCGTGATCTTGCCTTGGCGCCTCAGGCGCTCGCCTAAGGCATGTGATGTAAGGCGCAAGGTAGTTTGTCTCTATTTCAAAATTTTGAGGGTGCGAAAGGTGTTCGATAAAGTAAAATTTGTTTTTGTTAAGGAATTTTTGCGTTTCTTTTTTCATTGTCGCTTTTCTGCTAATTTTTTATGTTGAAATGTACGCCATTACCTACATCATTTTGAGGACATGTCATAATTTGCACCTTAAACTTCAAAGTTTGTTGCTTAATTATCTATGTTAGCAGTTACTAATTAATATTATTACCCAATATTTGCTAATTACTATATTTCATTTTGATGATTTATGGCTTATTAGATTTGTGACTTTGAAAATTTGGTTGTGTTAATTTGTCTTGCTATTTATTGATATTTGCATATTATTTGTAATGTTTGTGAATTTTTTGAATATTTAGCTTTCGTTCACTCAGGCAATTGCCTTTTTTGACGTCTCTCGCCTCAGGCAACATAGAACCTCATCACCTTAACATAGGACCTCATCGCCTTTTGCTTTTACAACACTGTCCGTGAAAGACAAAGCTGACCTCATCGCCTTTTGCTTTTACAACACTGTCCGTGAAAGACAAAGCTCCAAAATTGTTCATATATGTTGATCGTTTCAAGGCAATCATCCACATTTTTTTTAACCTTTGCTTTCGCTTAGGGGATCTAAACAAGTTGTTTTTAGGAACGGAAAATAGCTTTCCGAAGGCTCATAAATTGTCTCTGTCACTGCTTAAGGTAATTGATTTCCTTGCTTTCATGTCAATAGTATATGCTCTTTGTCTTCATGTATCATTCATTGTTTTACCTGTCTACATTAACTGCTGCACTTGTTTGTCTAAGGGAAAAAATTGCTTCTAATCTTGCATAATTATTGCTTGTATAACTTTCCCCTACTTATAGAGACTAGTTTCTTTTATATCTGGAAGTTATTGCTTTTGAGCATCTGTAGAACTCATAACTTCAAAATATGTATAACCTCTTGATGCAGGACGATCTTCAGCTGTTGATCATGAATTTTATAGATTTACTAGAATCTTTATTATTTTAGTAATATTTTATGTAATCTCCAATTTTAGGTAAAGATCTCCATAGGATTTGAGTTATAATTTTTAGGATCTCTGAGATTTATTCTGTTAGAGATATTATCTTTGTTTCCTTTTTATTAGGATTTGGATAGGATTTTGATTTGCCTTCTATGTTTAGTTTTTCTCTGTAAATAAAATTGTAATCCTCCATGAGGTATTAGAAAATGGTAAATGAAAATTTGAGTTATGATCTTGAGCATGTGAATTGCTTACTGGCATGTAAAGTGTCTTCGGGGTGTGAAACTCTTGGATGTGAGGCCTAATTATATCGAAATTCTCTACTTTAAATATTATCCCTCCTCCAACATTCTCCCAAAATCATAATCCTCAAAAAGATCCCATAAACAAACAAACAAAAATCTGCAAGGAAATAGTACTATACATGGATGAACAGTAACCCATATCTGTTCAACTGCATAAACAGTATTTTGCTGCAGTTCTTCACGTGACTAGTTTAACATGGGACAATTAGCTTTATGGTCTCATGGTTAGGATAATTGCTCTCATTAAATGTGAATTCAACTGCACAGAATATTGCATTTGTTATATTTTTTAATACTACTAATCAATTCAATTATTTCTCAGTAAGTAGTAATTAATTCTATGTAAACCTTATTTTTATGTATATTTTCTCATTGATATCAAGCTAATTTGATCTATATATTAAAATCATAATGCCCTATGTGTCAATGCTCATAATCTGAGTGGATATAGTATGCATCATTTTACTTCGTATTAAGTATGTGATTTGGATTTTTTCCCATGCAATAAATATGCTTTATGTAGCTCACTAGAAACAAGTTTGTTTGAACTATAATATTAGAACCATGATCAATGTTTTAACAATTGAAAACCAATTACTATGGTACATATTAAAATTACATGTACATGGAATATTTGTTTGTTTCTTGTTCGCTCTTTGCACTCATACAGTAACAAAATTCATGTACTTTAGTGTTAAAAATATCAGTGAATTTGTTTTCCTCCAGAGGTGTTAAATCAGTCACAGTTATAGATTGTGCTTCTATTGAAGTTTTCATTGTGTAAATTATCAAATGTGAAAGTTTATTTAAATTGTTGTGACGCATGACATCAATATGAGAGTTATATGTCATAGTGGATCACATGAAAGTTTGTTATATGATTATAAGGATTTATGCATGATAGCACTTGAGAAATTAAAGCATAGATGTTTGCTTGATAGATGAAGTACAAGACTATTCAAATTATCAAAATAATGATGACTTGCCTAAGAGGTGGAACAGATGATACTAGGAAATGGCAAGGCAAGTTTAGGTAGGTCCCATTTGCAGACAACCAACTTGTAGCCATTGTATGACCCAATTATACCTTAAATAATCCTTTAGCATCATCATAATTTTGATAAAAGTGAATAAGTGAGATTGTTAGTATGCATATGATAATAATTCTTGTATGTAAAGTTAATCCATTCATAAACTAGAAAATATTGACATCCCTCATCTAGTGTCTCTTGCAGATATATTTCATGTCATCCATATGTGGAGTGTTACCTAGATGGGCTTTATGCCTGAAGCAAATGAGAATAAAATATTAATTGCTGCAAATCATATATGACCCTGGATTTTCTTAAAGTCTAAATTAACAAAGGGTGGTCTTTTTAGGAATGTAGTCCTAGAATCATTGAGGGAAATGAGGTTAAGCCCA